ATTTTTTTTTTTTTGTCCGTTTAATTCGGAGTTTCTTTATAGTCTGTTCAGTTCGATTTTTTTTTATTTTTTTTTAAATCTGTTCATCTGTTTGCATCTGAATTCGACAATTCTCTTATTGGAAATATAAGCCTTGGGCACTGGGCCCGTGTTGGATTTAAAATTAAAATTAAAAAAAAAAAAAAATCGACAAATCGCCTCTTCAGTCTGTATTTCAACAGTTCATCGACGTACCAAATGAGATAGGCCCGTTGGTAGTGTTTTTTTTTTTTTTAACCTTTGATAGGCCCGTTGGCAGTGGTTTTTTTTTTTTTTTTTTTTTTTTTTTATGCCGTTGGTAGATTTGAAAACCTTGTACATAGGAAAGAGGCGATTTTTCGAACATCCGCGAAGATCCGCGGCATTCTGAGAGAAACTTCTCAGATAGTTCCTCGAAAAGCCCGTGAAAGTTTTCTGAAACTTCCAGTGCCCCCCCCCCCCCAAAAAAAAAAAAGAGTCCTTACCTTCTTCCCCCGAATACAAAGTACGGTCATTATAGCTGTATCTAGACTGAAACATGCCTCAAATACAGCTATAATGACCGTACGTTGTATTTGGGGGAAGAAGGTAACCACTGTACCTGCAAATTAACCTCTTTTTTTTTTCTGAATAATTATTCTGTTAATTAGCCGAATCGAGCACAAACGCCACTGCTGCTAATTAACAGATTTTAAGAATCACGATAAAATTAGAATGCTTCTCTCACTGGGGTCAAGTCCCACTAGCAGCGGTAAGTTTCCTCAACGCCTGAATCTGGACGTGTTTGTGGAGATGTGCATTGACGAAACTCAACGCGATTTCTGCACATCTCCTCAAACACGTCTAGATTCAGGCGTTGAGGAAACTCAACGCTGTTAATGGGACTTGGCCCCTGATACAATACTATTAGGGGCCGTTACTCTTTATCTTTTTTTCCCTTTTTTTTGAAAACCCAACGTTTTTCTTCTTTTTCTTCTTTTTGGGAAAAACCCGACGTTGGGAGTACTATGCGGAGTGAGCTGAGTCTTCTTGTTATTATTAAAAAAAAAAAAAAAAAAAAAAAA